CCAAACAAGCTCACAGGCTGACCCCATCCAGACAGCCCCGACAAACATGCTCACAGGCTGACCTGATCCAGGTAGCACCCCCACAAACATGCTACAGGCTAACCTGATCCAGACAGCCCCCACAAACATGCTCACAGGCTGACCCCTTCCAGACAATCCCTATCTAGGATTCTTTTCCCAGGTGAGTCTAGATTGTAAGTGAAAACCACCACTAACCTTCACAACCCATTTATATGTGCAATTAAGCCTCCGGAAACTTCGAAATGCATTCATGAAGACATTTATCAGGAGTGGGAGGAGCCAGACACAAAGGCCACTCACTATGAGGTTCATGTATGGAACAGCACATACAACTCCCAGGACCAATGGCAGACAGCGGCTGCTGCTGCAGCTGGGGTGGGGGCGGGCCAAGGGACCCGAATTGGTTTATGCTTCCTATATGGGATGTCGGGAAATTACCAAGGCTATGTAGGGTGGTGGCCACACCACCTCATGGGTATTCTGAGTATTGCAACCAGTTTTAAGATGAGGTCAAGCCAAGGGCGGTGGCTCAGAAGGAAGAAATGCTGTGGAGACGGTTCAGCCGGTACAGAGCTTGCTGCAAGCGTGAGGAACTGATTCCAGTTCCTCAGAGTCTATACAAAACTAGTCGGACACAGTGGCGCAGGTCTGTAATCCCGGCCCGGGGTAACTGAGTCACCTGGGTCCCTAGAACTCAAAGGCCGACCAGCCTGGAAGAATCTGCAAGTTCCATTCAGGGACAGGTCTTGTCTCAAGAAGTAAGACAGAGAGTGACTGGAGAAGACTCTGGTCTCTGGCCTCCACACACGTGAGTACACGTGTACACATTTGCACACCCTCATGCACCACATAGGACGAGGGAAGAGGAAGGAGGCCACATATCTTCCTGGGAGTAAATGTAAAAGCAGCCTGTAGTTTTGGAGCTTGGGTAGCCCACCCTGAGCCTCCTAGTTGCCCTGCTGCTGTCCTCGGCGAAGGACCCTGAAGCACAGGGGGATGACTGTGAGGCCCCCAAGGGTCTCACAATCCAGTGAGACTACTCGGGGTCTTAGCGATCCAGGCGGTTCTCACCCTGGGCTAGGAGGATCCAAGAGTCCTCAAAAAACCCCGCTCCTCAAATCCACCAGCCTCCCTGCCTGGCCTCTGCCCAGAGTGACTTTTCAGGGCAGTGTCTGGGGTCAACCCTTTCTCCATCAAGATGAACTTGGCCTTGCCCGAGAGGTCAGAGTGAACCTGCCGGCAGCTGTAAGCTGTCTCATGCTGTGAGGACAGCCTGGACTGAAAGCTCCCAGAATAGAACCTTCCTCCTTGGCCCTTCCGAAGGGTCCTCAGAGCCTACAGGCTAACAACAACAACAACAGCAAAGTAGCCAGGAGAGCTAGCACAGGTCCACATCCTAGCACTCAGGAGGCTGAAAGTTCCAGACCAGCCTGGACAGAAAACCTGTCTCAGAAAAAACAAAACAAACAATAATAACCTAAATAATTCAGCCCTATGCTAGAACCTAGAGTGACCTCGGACAGCACAGGACACTCCTTAGCCGGCCGATGCCCCACCATTTCTTTAGAGGTCAAATTCACCCTCTTCCTGCTGACCCCAAGGACTACTCATGATGGGCTCTTTGGGAGACAATGACATTGAATTAACTCATCTTACATGGAGGGAAAGCAGCGCCTGCACAGGATGACATCTTTATGCTCCTCTACAGGTCCTTACATCCTAAGGGAAAATAAGACACGGCAGAGATAAATCCATGCATTCCGGGAGGAGTGTCTCCCTGCAGCCAGGGAGTGGGGTGTTGAGGAGGGGAGGGGCTTAAGGTCACATAATGAAGCGACTGCTATCATGGCACACTTGAAGTATTTGCAAGTGACCTGAGATCACCCTAGAAATACGCTGCGAGGGACATAAGGAGGCCATGTGAAGCCATCAACCCTGAACCAGACGGGGCTGCCGGCAGGGTTACTCAGATGTGCCCTTGGCCTTGAGCTAGGAGCAGGGGGTGCAGGGAGGAGGTGTGGCTCCCCCAAACTGCTGTGTTCCAGTCACATTCTGGTTTGGCTTCTTGGGCCAGGTCTCAGGGACACCCCATCCCCACCCCCCACCCCACAACAAAGCCACGAGAGGTAAAAAGAGAAAAGGAGAGAGAGTCAGAGACAGAAAGGAAAGAGAGATAGAAAAACAGAGAGAGACAGAGAGAGAGAGGGAGGGAGGGAGAGAGAGAGAGAAAGACAGAGAGAGAGAGAGAGAGAGAGAGAGACAGAGAGAGAGAGAGAGAGAGAGAGAGAGAGAGAGAGAGAGAGAGAGAGAGAGAGAGAGAGAGAGAGAGAGAGAGAGAGAGAGAGAGAGCATTTATAGCAGTTCTCAACCAAAGTCCAAAGTAGCCCAGACTCGGCTCCTCCAGGACGCACAGATTGTGTGGAGCTCGTGGAGCTGCGCAGCCTGGACCGTGGACCCTCAAACCCCAACCGCTGGGATGCCCTGCGAGCCTGAGGCTGAGAAAGGACTGGGTGCCTTCTGGACTTAGACCAGTAACGCTCACATCCCAGTCACGTGTCTCTAGCAGGTGGCAAAGACATTGGTCGCCAGGGGCTGCAGACCCAGAGCTGAGGATAGTTAGTAAAGAAAACGGATTTGGGGACTGGGGATGAGGCTGAATGGGAGAGCACTTTCCTAGCATGTGCAAGGCCCTGGGTCCCAACCCCTCCGAAAATAAAAAAAAAAATAAATAAATAGAGAAATAAAATAAGTCACACACACTTTAACAGAAACTCTCCAGAGAAAGGTGTGCTGGCTTTTTGTTGTTTTGGTTTTTTTTTTCAGAGATTCAAATAAAATTTGGAAATCAACTCAAAAGAAAACTTATTCACAGAGAGAGCTGGAGATCAATTGCAATAAAAAGAAAAACCGAACTCCTAGTCGAACGTCATACCCTACCCCAGGCACCCCACTCTGCCGAGCCCTGCTCACCTGCATCGGATCTAGTGTGTGCCGAGGCCAGTCCTCCCGGAGTCCCGAGGGTCCCACCTGGTCGGCGCCCAGCCTTCCGAGCAGTGGGTGGTACACGGACCCATGAACCAGTCGCAGGGGTGCCTGAAAGAGCTGCCTGGGACGCGAGAGCTGCGCAGCAAAGCCGGTGCAGAGCACGGCAGCTGCGCCAGCGGTGGCGAAGGAGGGGCGGCTTCACAGAAGCTAGGGGGAAGGCTGGACAGTCTGAGCCCTGTGATCATCCGCAGCCAAGTGTCTGGCACCTTCCAACCAGGAGCTGAGAGCAAGCCTCCCCCATTGCTCCTAGCAGGGAAACCGGGAGTCTTTTCTTGGTTTTCTGTGTCTCTTAGCAGTGACTTCGCGGTGCCAAGCAGAACTAAGGCTTTGAGGGGCTGGCCTCTCTGAGAAGCAGAGTTGGGGTGGCGCTCAAGGGACCCCTGTTCCACCTGTCCCTGGTGAGGCAGCGGGAAGGCAGGAGGCTGCTCGGAATTCAGGCACATCCCCTTTGCCGATGGCGACCTAAATTATTCATGCTTTTAGAGAAACAGTATTTAGGGTGCAGCTGCTAACCCATGCCCTGGGAACAGGCTTCCTCCTCAAGCTCCTCAGAGCCACATTCCCACAGGAGGATCAAGAGGGCAAATCTGTCTCTAGGGCGCAGGGTCCCGGACTGCAGGCTTTGCGATTGTCTGCAGCTGAGCAGTGAGACCAAAGATCCTTTCCTCCTCTTCTTTTTTAGGGAATGGAAGCCAGGATTTTAAAAAATGCTTGAAAATGCTGGGCAAGTGATGTGCCACACCCCAACCAATGCCCCCCCCCACGATTTATTTTACTTCACATTGATTGATTGATTGATTGAGGGTCTCACTCACTACATAGCCCTGGCTGTGCTGAGACTCAGTCTGGAGACCAGGCTGGTCTTGAACTCACAGAGATCCGCCTGCCTCTGCCTCTGGAGTGCTGGGATTAAAGGTGTGAGCCACCACCACCAGATCCTACTTACCTACCTATTCTTGAGGCAGTTCTCACTCTGTAGCCCAGACTAGCTTAGGACGCTTTATCCCGCCTAAGTCTCCCCAGTGCTGGGATCACAGATGTCTGCTGCCACACTGGATGCCTGCCTTTCTTTTTAAAGTTGATAGTGTTGTATTTTTCCTTTAAGAAACATCTAGGGACCAGAAAGATGGCTTTGTGGGTAAAGGTACCTGCCTCCAGGACTGCGACCCACATGGTGAATCTGCAACATGTTCTTTAACCTCTCTCTCTCTCTCCCTCTCCCTCTCTCTCCACACACACACACACACACCCATGCATGCACGCACACTTTAAACAAACATCCGTTTCCATAGTTATGAGCAAACACTGCTCTCACAGAGGACCAGCACTCACTTCCCAGTGCCCATGCCAGGTGGCTCACAACATCCCTAAACTGTGTCTCCAGGGGATCTGATGCCCTCTTCTGGCCTCTGAGGGCACCTGCACTTGTGTACATGCACACACATATAAACAAAAATAAAAATAAATCTTAGTTGGTGGTGGTGGTGCACACCTTTAATCCCAGCACTCAGGAGGCAGAGGCAGGCAGGTCTCTGTGAGTTTGAGGCCAGCCTGGTCTACAAAGCTTCATAGAGAAACCCTGTCTGGAAATAAATAAATAGAATCTTTAAAAATTCCCACACACAAGAGAAGGGGGAGATAAACACAGAAAAGTGAAATGAAACTTGCTGAAGACATTGGCAATACCCTACACCAGTGCCATTGCATCTGTCTCCTTTTAACTTCTTCATTCAATTTTTGGGGGTTCACCTCCCACTCCACTTTTGTTCCCCCCTCATCCCTGTTGCATCCCCCCAACAAAAGAAAACAAAACAGAGTAAGCAAGCAAACAAACAAAAGCAAGAACAGAAAAAGAAAGAAGGAAGCAAAGAGAAGGAAAGAAAGAGAGAAAGGAAGAAAGGAAACAGAACAGAAAATCCACCAGAAACGGCAAAGTCTCTGCTTCTCCTTCTCTCCTGTCTCTCTGTCACCTCTTTATCTATCCTGATGGCACTGGAGGCTTCGGTGTGTCATATGGTTTACCTTTTGAGCCATCAGCGTGACTGGCAGCTGTCCATTGCAATGAATCATTGGTCTGGTTCACAGCCTCTGGTTTTTGGTACATCATCCTCACTGGATCCTCACCAGAGCTCTTCTGAAGTATCTGTGTCTTGGAGATCTTGTGGGTATCATTCTGCAGGACTGGTCCCTTTGTGAGCTCCAGCAGGACCCAGATGGGGTAGGTGCTAGGGTAGGTCAACCCAAGGCCCAGCTGTGGGCCTGGGTGTTAACCAAAGTCAGGTCAAATGGAGCCACCGGAGCCAATCACCTCAGGTGTGGTGGCAGGAGTCAGCTCCTCTGTATTCATGCCCTCAGGGTGGGTTTGTTCTCAATTGTGGTGAGGGGTAGGGACCTCTCTCCCAAGTGCAGGGACCAGCTCTCTTGCCGTAGTGGGTAATGAGAGGCAAGGCCAGTTTTCCCAGGGCAGGGAATGTCATGACTGGCTCCGCATGGCCCTCTGATTTCATCTCCCATGGTTCCTGAGGTGACTCAGGCCACAGACATCAACACAGACCCCAGCTGCTGCTGGACCATGGGCCCAGACATGGCTCTTGGCAGCAGATTGGGCCCGGACGACATCCTGGCTTGGGTGGAGGGAATGACCACTCAGGCAGAAATGGTTCCAGCAGCCATGTGGTCGCCAGACACCACCAAGGTTTCAGATTGTGGCCCTAACCCTGGGCTTCTATGTGACCCTTACTGGCAGTGCTGAACCCAGACTTCAAGTGAGACCCCCAGCCGCTGTAGGACCATGGACCCCAACACAGTCCTTAGCAGCAGCTGGGTCTGGATGTCACCACTGCAGTATGGCCCTGAGACACTAATTTGGCCCTTGATTGGGTGCCTGAAGGGCCTTTAATGGTAGCAGGAGCACTGGACATCAGCACAGACTCCGGCTGCAGCGGGACCAGTGTACTTATATTTTGTTTATAATCTAACAAATAAAGCTTACCTTAAGACCAGAGTGCAGAGCTAAGACACTCTTTAGCCACACACCTGGTTAAGAGCTAAGGTACAAGTCAGCCACACACATACTAAGCCACTAGTTAGTCACAGAGGACAGGCAATGGTGGTCACACCCTTAATCCCAGCACTTGGGAGACAGAGACAGATGGATCTCTGTGAGTTCAAGGCCACTCCAGGCTACACGAGAGTAAATCAGTCTAACAGAGAAACTGAGCTCACACCCTTGATCCCAGCAGTTGGGATGACATGCCTTTAATCTCAGCACTAGAGAGGAATATAAGGCAGGAGCTCAGGGCAGTCTCGGGGAGCCTGAGGTTTGGTGGAGGGCATTGCAGTCTGCAGTCATGCTAAGGACAGGATCGCCCTTTGTTTGTCTGAGCCTTGGTAGCGTTGAGAAGTCTCCAGTGGCTGGCAGCTTTGCTTTCTGATCTTCAGCTTGAACCCCAACATCTGTCTCTGGGTTTTATTATTTGTGCTGCAGACCTGGGACTCTGACATAGCCCTCAACTGTAGCTTGGGCCCAGATGTTGCCATATCATTGAGTAGCAGTGCAGGCCACTCAGATACAGATGTGTCCTGGTCCTCGGTCACCAATCCAGACTCCGGGGACTGGTTTGATCCCTGACTTCTTCATGGCACTCGGTGGCAACTAGAGTCATGTATGTCAATCTGGACACTGACCACTACAGGCCCATGGACCTGGACAAGGCCTTCAGCAGCAGCCTGGGCTCAGATGACACCCTGGTCCCAGGTGGTAGCACAGGTCACCCATATCTGTATGGCCCCTGCTGTGGTGTGACCCTCCTGACTCCACCCAAGCCAAAGCCTCTGAATGGACCCTAGTGGTAACCTGTGCTGCAGAGTTCAACACGGACCCCAGAAGCAGCTGGGTCATGTGGCTGCAGTCCTTGCTTCTATGTGGGGGCCCTCAAGATGACTCAGTGACTCACCAGGTAAAGAGCTTGCTGCCAAGCCTGGCATCCTGAGTTAGATCTCTTTCTGACAGATCCAGAGGAACGTCTCCTGAGGTTGACCTCTGACCTCCACACTCACACCGTGGAATGCACACACTTATATACACACACACACAAAGAAATCTCTACCAACAGCAAGTTGTCTCTACCTGAAGAGGTCTGTGGCGGGAGAAGAGTGCAGCCCAGGCGGGTGGTCTCCAGCTGTCTGCTGAGGGGGAGGGGAGGAGCCCCACCACGGCTGGGTCCAGCGCTGACCCGGCAGCAAGGTGAGCAGAGTGGACGAGGCTGCTGGAGTAGAGGTGGCCTCTTCGCTTCCTCTGTCCTCTCGGCCTGTGGGAGCAGCCAGGGTGCGCTGTGAATGAACGGGTATGACCGTGTAAAAAGCAGTCTCCCTGTGTGTGGAGGTGTGGGTGTGCATGCATACTCCTGGAGCCCAGAGAACATCCCCAGGAGTGCTTGCTTGATTGATGGGTTGCCAGCCTCTTTTGAGAAGCGTCTCTCATCCACCTGGTGCTCACTGATTAGATTAGACGGGCTAGCCAGTGTGCCGGAAGGATCCACCTACCTTTGCCTCCTCAGCCGAAGGGTGACGGGCTAAGACTGCCTCCACCACCCCTCCACCTTTCCAGTGGCTTCTGGGGTATTCAGGCTTGCATAGCAAGCACGTTACCAACCGATGTACTCCCTCTGGGGGATACAAACTTTCACACCCAAAAAGTGCTTTTATGAGTAGCAGGCAGACAAGTCCCTTAAGCCCGTGTTCCCTTCTGGACTGAGACCTGAGAAGGGTTGTTTTGACTGTGAAGTTGGTCGGGCTGTTGGAGGCACTGTGAGCTTGAAAAGGCCACAAACACAAGATGTTATTACTGTTAGGCAGGGAGCCCTGGGGCTGCACATTTAGCATAGAATTTTCCTATTTCATGCCATGTGACTCATGTGAGTCACTTTGTGAACATAAATAGCCATCCCGCTTCCTTAAAAGTCCTTTGGAAATGTCAAAAAGTTTTGATTTTTCCTTTATGCGAATGAGACCAGCCTGAGTCAGCGCTCTAACTCATGACTTTTCCGGTTGAACAACTGCCCCCAGTTACTCACTCCACCCTGTTTACGGAGCCTTGCTGTGTCTTCAGTGGGGTGACATGTGCTCTCCCACCCCTCGGACTTGGATGTGGCTTTAGTTGATGGCAGATGGCCAGCCTGAGGTTTGTGGATATGTCTGTCCTCTTGCACTTACCCTGAGAACAAGTGTCCCCAGAGAAGAACAAAAGACACCTGAGCTGTCACCCAGATGAGCCCCACCCCAACTAGATAGTGCCAAGCCACCGACACAGTCTCACTAAGAAACCCAGCCTAGTCTTGAGCTGGTGATTCCCTGCCTCCTCCTCCCGAGCGCAGGGGTGACGGGGGTGTGGCCATGTCCAGCTCAAGCCACTGCATTTTGGAGCACGTCTCAGGTGGGATGTTGAGTTCCAAGGCCTTGGTTGGGTCATTCGAAGGCATCAGGAGAGACGATTTGCTTGTAGATTGCTGAGTTTTATTCAATCAGAGAGCATTTGAGGGTCATGTCAGCTGTGAGACTGCTTGACTAATAGAGTCATCACTGTCTCTGCTGCCACACTAATCACCACACCATCCTCATCACCATTAATTACTGTCCTCACCACCACCATCATCGTCACCACCGTCACCACTATAACCACCAGAGTTCACAGATAGCAGACCACACTTGAAACTGGTAACTGGTTTTCAAAGTACCTAATAAATCTATTAACAACACACATAATGCTAGTTGCATGATGTAATGGCCACAGAGGGGACCTGTTGCAAAATCTGAAAGAGCAACGAAAAGTTTCCAGAATGTGCAGAGAGAAGGAGAGGAAGGCATGCCCCCCCCTGCAGAAGGATACAGGACCTTAGCTCTGCCCACCTTGTCTCTCTTTTTGTCTGTGAGAGACTCTTGGATGCGCTGAGGATGCGCTGAGTAGCAGACAGGAAGCAGCAGGGCCTGACGATGTCCTCTGGGTTCAGCCAGCCAGGACCTGAGCAGGGTGAGGCATCAGGTCCAGGGAATGGATAACCATCGCTACTGCTGCAGGTCAGGCAGTCTTTCTCGCTCGCCAGCTGTGGGCTCATCTCATTATTTTACTCTCTTCTTGCTACTAAAGGATACAGGATGGAAAAGAGAACAGATTCCCAGAGAACCGGTGTGATGCTCTCCAGGAGAAACCTCTCCTACACCACACATCTCCATCCCAGCTGCATCCTCCTGAGCTGCCCACGGGAGAGAGGAGAGCACGCATGTGGCTGTGCTCTCCAGGGCATGTTCCCCTTGGCCAGGGGACAGGACAGCTGTGCTTATAACACCGCTGCAAGAGGGAGAGTGCTTGCTTCAAGTATGACAGCAAAGCTTCGCACACAGGCCCTGCCTGGGAACCGTGCCACCTGGCAGCTGTCGCCCTGAGAACACCTCTGCCATTTGTCCCGGCAAGCAAATTGCTACTTACATGTTCTGGGCAAAGTCCACTTGATCACACGGCAGCCATGACGATGACTGAAAACAAAACATGGGTTCATGAAAGCCGGACAAAATGACACACATTTTGCAATCCCAGCACTCAGGGGTCTAAGGCAAAAGGGTTGCCGTGAGTTTGGTGTCAGCCTGGGCTACAGAGTGAGTTCTAGGCCAGCCTCAAAAACCCTGTCTCAAAAGGAAATAAGTAAGTAAAACTGGGTATGGTGACACATGCCTTTAATCCCAGCACTCAGGAGGCAAAGGCAGGTGGATCTCTATGAAGCCAGCCTGGTCTACAGAGTGAGTACTAGGATAGCCGGGGCTATTACACAGAGAAAGCCTGTCTCAAAAACCAGAAAAAGTAAACAAATAAATAGATCCCCAAATTCTCCTTTGAATGCAGTGGAACTGGTCCCTTTAGTCATGAAGCAGATACAATGCTTACCATCTGTGCACCTCACACTCAGTGGAAATTGTGATGAGTCTTTTCACCTTATCCTGTTTTCCTCGTCTATCAGGTAGCTTTAATACATTTTAAAACAGAATTGTATCACTTTCTCCTTCTCCTTTCCTCCTTCCAACCCCTCTCATACCTGCCATTCTCAAATTAATAGCTTCTTATTCTGTGATCACTGTTATGTACACACATATATATGCATATGCATATATGTGTATGTACATGTATGTGTGTATATGTATGTGTATATATATGCAGTGTTTGTGTATGCATGTATATGTGTGTATGTGTATGTATTGTATGTATATATGTATGTGTATATACATGTGTGTGTATATGTGTATGTATGTGTATGTGTATGCATAAGTATGTATATATGTATGCACAAATATATATAAATACAACCTGATTTGTTGTTTGTGTATGTGGTTTTAAGACTAACTACCTTGTATTGGATAACATTGAGGGGCACCTCCCTGGAAGGAGCTAATTCTCCATCACCCAGAAGTCATTAGTTGCCTGTAGTTCTCCATCTAGGGATGGGACCCAGTGAAATTGTTCCCTTCTATGTTAGCAGATCTATTGATACTGCCAGTTTCTGGTCTTCTTTATGCAGTCATTTCGAGGAAAGAAATTCTAAGAGAGATGTCTTGGTGTTCTGACTCCTACCGTCTTCCTGCCCCCTCTTCCTTCACGTTCCCTGACCCATAGATGCAGGAGCTGTGATGTAGATATGTCTGTCAGGGCTGCCTCAACACAATCTTGATCTCTGCATTGTGTCCAATTGTGTTGGGTCCCAGCCCCCACAGATCTCTGTGCATTGTTTGTCAGCTGACAGCCACAGGTGCATCCTGCTCTCTAGTCCTGGCTTACAGCCCCGGCCTTGCCCACCTAACATCAATATCTAGCATGAGGAAAACACGAGTTCTTACACCAGGGGTTTCTCCACTGTGCTGTAAGCCTGTATATAAGTCTTCTCCCTCTTTACAGAGAGAGAGACCTCTTAGCACTTGCAATAAAGACATACACACATGCATTCTCTGGCAATAAAGGTGGCAGATGCATTCTCTTAGCACAAACAGTTGGACGTCTTGTCTTTCATTTCCCAATACCTCGGACTTGCTCTTCCATTTGCTGTAAAAGGAGGATTCTTTGATGAGAAGCTAACTTATCTTTGGACGACCATAAACAATGTTTGAGGATAAAGTTTCTAACTCTTAGACATTGCTTATAGTTCCATAAGAGTTTGGGGAAGTGATCTTAAAGTAGTATCAGTGTGCCAGGCATGGTGGCACATACCTTTAATCTCAGCTCTCTGGAGGCAGAGGCTGGAGGACCACTATAAATTCAAGGGCAACCTGGTCTACATAGGAAATTCCAAGCCAGCCAACCCAATTAGATTCCATCTCAAAAATTATTTTAAAGATATCAGTTGGAACTCGGGGTGTGGCAAGCATGAGGACCTGAGTTTGTGACACACTTGTCATCCCAGGGTCTGGGAGGCAGAGACAGGTGATCCCTGGCCAGCCAGCCTAGCCTGCCTGGTATGCTTCAGGACAGTGAGAGACTCTGTCTCAAAAATAAGGTGGATGGCTCTTGAGGAATGAATTTTAAGGTTGTCCCCTAGCCTACACGTACACACACACACACACACACACACACACACACACACACACACACATACACACATGCAAACACATCAGATGAAATTCATTTTCTCTTGTTCTATGGGGCCTTAAATTGTAGGCGTTCCCATAGAAACTTAAAAAGCATGCCTGCCTAACTTACATAAGGTCCTAGGGTGGTCATTCCCTAGAACAAGAGATGAAAGGAAGGCTGGAAGGAAGGAAGGAAGGAAGGAAGGGAGGGAGGGAGGGAGGAAGGAAGGGAGGGAGGGAGGGAGGAAGGAAGGAAGGAAGCATTCCTGATTTAATATCATTCAGAGAAACTGAAACAAACAAGAAATCCAGATAACTTGACACTGAATGTAAAATATGAAACAGATTGGGAAGTCATGAGACTATGTCTTAAGCCTGTTTGGCGTTTGTCTTAGCTGCTGTTCTGTTCCTGTGAGGAGACACTATGACCATGGCGATTTATAAAATAAAGCATTTAATTGGGGGCTTGCTTACGGTTTCAGAGGGTTAGTCCATTTCCATTATGGTCTCTTACTGAGACCAAAGTCACAGATACTGTAGCTCTCATCTTGCTCAGGGCCTGCTGTCTGTGTCTTCCAAGTGTTGGCTGTATAGGCAGGCTACTACACCTGCCCAGCACAGCTCTGGCCTCACCCTTACACGGCAAGCACTTTGCCAACCGCCCTCTCCCTGACCACGTGCTGAGGGTGGAGCACAGGTCGTCACACTGATATGGCCAGCCCGAGACTGGGCCATCTCTTCTCCTTAGACTCTGTCACAAGCTCCTGCCTTGGGTGTTCTGGTAGAGTTATGGAAGTCTGATGAACACAGGTGTCCACGGGTGGAACCAGCCATGGATAAAAATCTCTTTTAGTTGCATTGGTTGGAGATGTGAAGTCCTGGCAGAGCCATGCCCCCATGATGGCTACACCCTGAGTCTAATGATCTGAGAACACAAAATTCTCATCTTTACTGAGTTTGTGCAGATTCACTATACAACAGTTGCCAAGCAGCGCTGCCCCGTGGCCATCACACAGTATTGCTCTCATCAAGAGTTCTGGGCAGGACAGCATGCATCTATACCTGAATTACACCATGTTACAAGAGTAGTTGGAGCCTGTGCACACAGCGCATCATGACGACGTTGAATTAATTCTGTGTGTTCAGGGGCCAACTACAAGCAAGTCACAGCCCAGCTTCCTTCTTGCCTCACAGACTTCAAAACCAGCTGTTGTGGTGGTTGATCTTCACAGACAATCTGACTGGATTTGGGATCACCACAGAGACACCTCTCTGGG